GGGGAATTCTGGGAGTTGAAGTCCACACATCTTAAAGTTGCCAAGTTTGAGAAACACTGAAGAAAGACATTCTGTCTTCTTAGGCTATGACAGTCTCATTATATATAGTTTTGCCTTCAATTTATTTTAATCTAGGTGGTGAGATATCCATTGTTGTTTTCTTAATGTATTTGAATGCAAGTTCTCAAACATTATGAGAATTATAGAGTTTAAAAAACAAACTACACAAAAGCAAAAACTCACATGTAATTTGTGATATATATATCTATATGTTTTATATATGTATATATATGTGACATATATAAAACAACATTTTAAATAAAGGTATTCAGTATTTCAATCCAAAAAGATTGACAGTCTATTAGGAATTAGTGTGTGTTCAGCTGTTTAAAAAGCAGCTGCATGTTTTCATTGCAGCTTTTCCAAATATCCTTGACATTGCTCCAAATATGTTAATGGTTAAAAAAGGCCATTAACATTAAAAAAAAAGCCCATTAACATTAAAAAAAGGCCGTTAACATTAACAGTGCCATTAATGCCACTGTTTTTGATACATCCCTCATTGATATTGGAATGTAAAAAAAGGGTTTTGGTATGATCCCTTTAATGGAAGAGCGGTACGTAATGTGATAAAAGTAAAACCTAAGAACAGTTTTAGAAATAATCCATATCTGGTATAAAATATGACATGTAGTTTAATGGACTTTGTGGGCATGTGTTGTGAGAGGCTTGATGAAGTTAGCGTTGGGATTCTGAAATGTTACTAACAGGAGATCCCACGCAGCATTCAGCTAGTTTTAGTGGTTTAGCAGAGTAGAAACGTTCAAACTTGTACAAAGGCTTAGCTAAATTCAGATCAAAATAAACACTCTCCATATACTAGTAAAAGAGAAAATAAAAGATAGCTCACAGTTTATTTTCAGATCTTCATACAAAGCAGTTTCATAGCAGAAATGGTCCTGTGTGTGTGAGTAATAAGTTCGGATGAAACCTACATGCTTCTGAATGTAGGCAATCTGAATGGAAATTAGGCCAGGAGGAGAAGAGAGAATTCCCTCATACCTCGTGCAGGGCCAGGAGGAGAAGAGAGGAAAATGAGGGAAACAGGAAAAAAGGCGGGCTCAAAGCCCCGCCCACACAAGGCAGCAAAGCTAGGCTGCAGCAGAGTCGCCTCTCCCTTTGTGCTTGTGAGAGACAGGCTTGGTTGCAACCCCATATTTTCCAATATATATGTGTATATGTCTCTGTATGTGTGTACTGGCCCGTAACCCAATGTTGGGGTTGTGAAATGTTAGTACAAAAACCCTGGCAAGAAGAGAGGATCCATTCCTACCTCATGGAGAGCCATGAGGAGAAGAGAGGAAAATGAGGGAAACAGGAAAAAAGGCGGGCTCCAAGTCCCGCCCACACAAGGCAGCAAAGCTAGGCCGCAGCAGAGCTGCCCCTCCCTTTGTGCTCATGTGAGACAGGCTAGGTTGAAACCCCATGTTTTTCCAACAGTTAGTGCCTGGGCAAGTCAGTTGCACCTTTTAAGGATTCTGATTTTTTAAAATTCTGTATAGGAGATACTCTGTTCTGATTCAGCCACGCCAACACCTGGATAGCTTAAACAAATTCTTAACTAAGAAAATGATTCTTCTAAGCTTGCAGTAAGATTCACTGAATTCCATGACATTTCCAAAGCACTACAGCAATAACTCTGCTTGCATATTATGGAACTTAATTCCGGTGTGTAATATAATATTAAGTTTGCTAAGTTTTATGAACTGAATGCATATTTAGAACACAGATAATATACCTTGATTGTTAACTTATCCTTCAACTCTAGTGGACCATTTCTATTTTTGGTAGCCTTCATTTAAGTAAAATATCTTGATCTTTGAAGAACGGGGGTTGCCTATCCAAGCACACCAATGCTATTGAAATGGTTCCTGGCAGAGACAGGCATTTTTCAAAGGCTAATTACAAGTTCCAGAACCAACAGCCAATTCAAATATTGGAAGTTAATTCACTGAAGCGAAATGTGTCCAAAAGCGATAGACAGGGTGTGCTAGCCTCACAATTATTTAAAAAAATATTGCAAATAAAAAGATCATTTAGACAAGAGCAGGCCATGAGTTACCATAAAATTTTTCATAATAATGACACTGTACTTGGATTTATTAAATCTCAAGCAGAATGTCATGTCTTTCCTATGAAATAGCGCCCTTCATTGGACAGATAAATGATCTTGACTAAAGAAGAATACAAATCTTCAAGAACAGCACAGAGCCATGTTGTATTTGGCAGCTAACTATCATTTGGGAAAAGGGAGAATAAGCCACAGAAAGGAAATTGTTGCTACTCATGAGGCTAAGATTCAACATTCTTTAAAGAGGAGACAAGTCAGCAAGTTCTAAGGAAACTAGCAATGCAGTCTTAATTATATAATTGCATTAAGCTTTATTGGAAAAGCAGGTACAGTTTTTTAATATACTTGAAGCACTGATTGGTGGGGAAGAATGTCTTATGAAAGATTATCAGATTCAGCATTTAATAAGGGAATAATTATAAGCACAGAAGAACAATGCCTATGTTGACAATTGTAGAAAATTATCTCCCTACCTGGCTTTTGAAATTGACATTGACTAACTTGCCAAAAAACAATTATGCCCCAACCAAATCTTCTAACCTGGTTTTTGATAAAGTAGGAAATAACAGCATACTTTCTGGTGCAGCATGCTAAATCTATCTTAGAAGGCTAAATTATAGAAATTTAGAAAGGCCAATAATGCTACCATCTTAAACTTCATTGAGTATGATGGGATGTATTCTAAATAAGCATGTCTAGAATTACATATATAATTGTAATTCTCAAAGGCTAAATAAGGATTATGCAAGAATTCAAAAAGGGTTCCTACCGAATAAGTGCATGTATAATTGCAACTTAATATCCTTTCAAGTATTTTCTTGTATCATACCTTCTGAGTTTTTTTAAGGAAGATATACAAACACAGGACTCGAGATTTACTAAAGATGGTAGTAGGAATGGTTGATTGGAAAACTGAGAGAGCATTGTGGTGTCTTCTAAAGACTCTATATCTACACCTTAAACATTAGATGCTTTGTTACAAATTAGAGTTGATTTCTTCTGAGCCATAGGTTTACGTATTTTTTTAAAAAGTACATTCTTAAGACTTCTTAGCAGTTTATTATAATTACTGTTTATTAATTTAATTTATATATTTGTTTCTAAATGACAGAAAGTAAGTAAAGATCAATCAGCATCCTTTGGATCTTCAGAGAAAGTATTTTTGTCGCTGTACTATCGATGGAAGATTACAATTTAACATAATAATGTAGTAATTTTTTTTAAGTAATAGCTATATGCCCTCTAAATGCCTTATGTGCAGTAAGAGAAAGGGAAATGGGTTTAATTTAATTAAAGAGCTCTTTAGAAGTTAACAGTTTGTTCTAGCTTTTACTGGCTTGTAATTGTACTATGCTGATTTTATTGATGAGCAGAGAAATATGTTTTTATATGTGGTGGTACTTATCTGTTTTAAAAAATAATTGCAGTCTAAATCTAATTATGGTCAAGTTTTCAGTTACTGAAGGTTTATGTGTATATAACAACACAGGTTTAATTTTTTATTTTATTTAGGAAATTTATATGGCCATCCATCTTAAGCAAATAATTCTGGGTGGCTCACAGTAAAAAAACAACATAAAATGCAAGTACAAATAAATATAAAAATACCAAATACAAAAATACTAAGCTGAGGCACCTCATACATCATCTTCAGTCACAAATCATCACATCATCATGTGATCATCATGCCTGTGGGAAAAGCCTTACAGCCTTTTGGAAGGCTAACAGGGTTGGGCCCATCCAGACCTCTGGGTGGGTAGGGAGGGAGGCTATTCCACAGGGTGGGTGCTGTAAAGTTTCTGTGACGATTCAGTAAATAGGTTTTGTCTACTGAAAACTTCCCTTTATTGGTTAAATTGGCATAGTTAACATCTCTTATAAAATCAAGTGTCTTAGAGACCAAGTCATTTTGAAAAATATAGATTTCCTGCTCTGTCTAATTAACATGATTGAATTAATGTAATGAAATCCAAATTTGAAAATAGAAAGGAAATCTTTTAGTTGAAAAATATAGGTGGAATGTAGAATGCATACTTTAGACTGATTAATAGGACAGGACAATGATTTTTTTTCCATTTGAAGAACTGCAGCATACTGTAAATATAATTAATCAAAAACTGCTGAGTAGCAATTCTCTAGTTAAAATAATGTTTGACATTTAATGTGGCCTTGTAGCTCTTAAGTGCTTCATTACCGTCTCTATTTATAGAGAACTTAATAGACTTTACAAAACAATAAGACTGTAATTATTATTTATAAGTGGTGTTAAATTATATTAATGATGGGGTCTAAAGAGGCATGTAATAGGGGATTGGAGTACCCAATAAATCCATGCCAATGAAAACTATTTTGGCATCCATACTTCTACAGAATTAAAATGACAACTAGAATGATAGAAATTGGAAAAAGCCATTTAGATCAAGCCACCTGCTCTATGTACGTATCCCAATTAAAGCATCCCAAATAGATAGATAGCCTCTGCCTGAACATCTCCAGTGAAGGGGACTCAACCATCTCTCTGGATAATTGGTTTCATTGTCACTTTGGTCTTACAAAGTTGTTTCTGACATACCGTTGAAATCAGCTTTCCTGTAATTTAAATCCATTACTCTGTGTCCTGCACTGTGAAGTGAGAGGGAAGGTCTTGAATTTCTTCTGCGTGACATCCTTTTAGATATTTAGGAAATAGCATATCCTTTCCCCAATCCCCCCCCCCCCGCACTTGCCACCTTAGCTTCTATTTCTTGTTGCCCTTCTCTGAACTTGTTCCAGATTCTCTGAATCCATCTTAGAATGCTGGGCCTAGAACTGACTAAAGTATACAAGCTGGGATCTGACTAAAGCAAAATACAGTGGTATGGTATTTCTCTTGATTTTGAACTTATACTTGATACAGCCTATATTACATTGGCCTTTTTTTCAAGACATATCATACTGCTAGTCCATATTCATTCTGAAGTCTGTAACTAGTTTGTTAATCAGCATGCCATGGGGCACTTTGTCAATTGCTTTGCTGAAATCGAGATATATCCCAGCATTTCCATAATCTTTTAAGGAAGTTCTCTGCTCAAAATCCATGTTCTCTTTTGGTAATTACAGCTTTGTTTTCAAAGTGCCTACAGATCAAATTATTTATGAACTGCTATAGAGTATTCCCATGTATTTATTTATTTAAGTGGGTTGATACGCCACTCCAACCCATAAAACTCTGAGCAGCATACATTCCACAGTTCAGTAACAAAATTAAAAATGATAAGGCCAAAATGATAACAAATGACAAAAAATGCAAATACTTCCAATCCTTATAACGTAACTCCATACATGTTGGTCCTATATCCTCAGGAGACAATTAAAAATTACATCTTTCCCAAAGGCCCTCTGGAAGAGCTGGGTCTTATTAACTGTCTAGAATGCAACAGACAAGAAGCTTCTCTTTTCTGGAGGTAGGCTATTCCCGAGGAGGGGGGCTAATACTGAGAAGGCTTGTGGTTGGCTCCCTACTGATGACATTTCCTGGTACCCACAGTTAGCCCTCCTTTCAAATAAGATCAATTTATTTGATCTAACCACATAAATTGATTCTACCCAGAGAAGATGGTCCTGCAGGTACCCAAATACTGACCCATTTAGGGCTTTAAAGTTGATGGCTAATACTCTGTATCTAGAAGTAGAACCACTGTAGCTCCCAAAGCAGTGGTATAGAATGGACAAATGATGTATCAGGCATTACTACTCAAGCCACTGAGTTCTGGATCAGCTGAAGCTTCTTGGTGGTCTTTAAGGGCAGTACAGGCTAAAGTCCAAATGAGAGATGACAGTGGCATTGATGATCATAAACAGAGTGTCTCAATCCAGGAATGATCGTAACTGGTATACAAGGTGGCTATGCCATGGCCTCCACCTGCTCTGTAAGCAGGAGCCATGAATCGAGGGAA